CATATTGTTAAGCTGCTGATAACAGCGGTTAAATTCAGAGATGAAGGTTAGTCTTTCTGTTTTTCCAGTTGGAGTTCAGACCTGGATGATATTAAAGCTTGTAGGCTCTCCCAGTTATGGAAGGATGATACTTTCTTTCATTAAATCTTGATCTCACTACTTTCGCTCTGTTTTAAATCCAAGTGTGATAAACAAGAATTGTTTTAAGCTGTGAATCATGCAAAGCTACTTTAGAGAGTCCAAGAATAAGAACATATGAAACAGGAAATAAACAGAAGAGGTCCAATTTAAATTAAAAAAAAATCTCCCTAAAACCAGTGTATCAGTAACTTATGACGAGAGGAAGGGAAGCAGTATTGCTACATCCAATAAATGCTCAGTTAAACTGAGAAGTTCTTTGTCTGTCAGCATTAAATCCAAACTTTTAAATTTTTTAGCAAATTTGTTGATTTCAGACATCAAACCAGACAATATATTTACACTCACTCAGTATTTCCGATTGCTCACCACAGTATCCAGACCGCTGATCCACAGATTCCTGCACAACAAGAAAGAGCAGGTAAGTGTTGTGGCAGGTAATAAAAGGAGCCGTGATTTCACTCACTGCAGTAATGCAGCAACCCAGCACTGACTGAAGCACCGCCGCTCAATTAAGTAGTGGCTCTTAACAAGGTGATCACAGACATTTGTGTGATTAAAAGCTCTCATAATGAAGTTTATTCTCTGGGGAGGAACGTTAAGAGCACAAATAATGTTGAAAGTTTTCCATGGTTTTATTAAAATTGTTTATATCTGTGTAAATGATTGTATGAATATTTTCATGAATCCTTCAGGGATGCCAGCCCGAGCTTAAAGCCACTCTGTGTCAGAAATTACAGTGGCTTGCAAGAGTATTCAGCCCCCTTGAACTTTTCCACATTTTGTCACATTACAGCCACAAACATGAATCAGTTTTATTGGAATTCCACGTGAAAGACCAACACAAAGTGGTGTAACACGTGAGAAGTGGAAC